AGACTCCAGTTGAGTACCTTACTTCGCGGCCAGAGGCTTCCATCGCTCTTGGCTCTTTCCCTGTCCGAACAGATAGACTTGACAGGGGAGGAGCGCTGGAGGGTTTGGCAACCCACAACCCGCCCGCTAAATGGCAATCGTGAGGGTCTCGAAGGAGGCAGGAACGGGGTAGACCTGGTAGCGAGGAAACAAGATACGTTCGGACATTTTTTTTTCTTAGGCTCTTTCTGCAGTTTACGAGTCCCATCCATCTGCATTCCCTTTGCGATTTCCACCACATTCATCGCCCTCACCCTCGTCTGTGGTCTTGTCGCAACGAAGCCAAGCTCCAAATCCCGTCCACACTTCCATTCATTCCCATGGCCTACCTACTCTTCTTGCTACGTTTTGCCAGTCTACTCTAGTCCCAATTTGTTTCAACACCCACAACACGAGATGGCCCGTCGTCGAAAGTTCGGTGACACATGCTGGGCCCCGGGCGAATCATGCTTGGCATCTTGAGACTCGCTGCTCTTCAGCCTCAAACCCTCCGAGTCCTGAGCCTCTGGCCTGCAGACTCGCGCACCTGCACCGGCTTGCCATTGCACTGCACGGGAGTCCCGCAGACACAGTACATGCCGCCGCGCTGTGTTTCTCAATCTGAAGATCTCGCTTCAGCCTTTCACCTCAAGTCTGCCAAACCCACCCACCCACACCTGTCGCTATCAGGGCTGGCCTATCCAAATGAGGTCGGAGTGAGGCAAGGCTACGCAGTATATTTTGTCGTTGCTGGCAGTTCGCATCGCTGCAGCAATGCAACGTTAATTTGGCTTCCAGACTCTCCAAGCCTATGCTCAATATCGCCGTTCCTGCATGACGAGGCTCTCTCTCTTGGGCTCTTACTCACGTTCAAAGTTGAGGAGAGCATTGCCGCCCGCTGCCGTCGTATCGCCGATCAAGCTCCGCCCATGGAACCCAGTTCACGTCTTGTCGTCCGACAAATGCGTGTGCGCGTCTCCATAAAGAACCACTCATTGTATTCGTAGCCCCCCCTTCGATGTAAGCCTGCCACGAGGCCAGCACCGGAGAAGGCACAGAGACAGCCAAGATACAACACAACCAACACCCCAGGCCATCCAACCAAACGCAACAAGACAGGCAAGACTAGGTACTGCGTTACCTGCCAGCGCCAAGCCGTGAGCCGGCATGAAGAGGAGGCTCTGTTGATCTTGTGCTGGGATTGGTCCATGGGATTTCTGGGGCCCTGCTACACACCATCTTCTCGTCTGGATAGCGCATGGCGACGGCCCAGGGGAGTCCCGTTTCAGATGCATTTCAGAGGTCTCAGGCCGTGCATTGCCCAGCACCAACCCGACCCATGGGTGTCCAGTGATGACTAGAGCCGCGACTACATGTTCCGCCTCTCAAACACTCAGACAGGGAGAGATGGGACTGCCCAGCCCATACAAAAGCATAAGTGATTTCCCCTCTTTCATGCTGTGCTGCCTCTTCTTGGACCTTTTCCCGCTCGACCGTTTCCACCCTTTTCTTCTTGTCAAACTTCCTTCTTCACTTCTCAACAGCGCACTGGGGGCAGCTTAGACTTATTTACCATACAATTTTTCTCTCCTTACTTTCGTCTCCTTTCTCTCCCGTCGAAACGAATCTCACGAATCTCCAACGAAACGATCACGAAAATCGACAAGATGGGTCTCATTCTTCCTCTCCGAATTGTCCAGGGTGTTCTGGCGTTGGTGATTCTCGGTCTCTCGGCCTTCAGTACGTGATGAGGAATCTATGGAACTCGGCCACCACATCTTGTAAATGGTGACTAGGGTGGGAGAGAATTATGCGCTGACTGTGTGCTTGCAGTCGCCAACTGGTACAACATGGACACGATGACTTCGTCCCCGTCCCAGGTCAACTTCTTGGTCTTCGTGCCGCTCTGGTCTTTCATTTCCATTGCCTACCTCGAGCTTGTGCCCAAGTTCGCTCCGAGAGGTGAGTCTCTCCCCATCAAAGCTGAGATTTGTTGGAGTGAAACAAATCAACTAACACCATCTTAGCCTCCCACCCCTGGGGTGCCGTTGCCTTTGAGCTCCTCAACGTCCTCTTCTACTTCGCCGGCTTCATCGCTCTCGCCGTCTTCCTCAGCAAGCTTCTCTTCTGCCGTGGCACCGTGTGCGCTGCTGCCCGCGCCGACACCGTCTTGGCCGCCTTCGAGTTCGCCCTCTGGGCCGGCACCTCCCTCCTCATGGTCAAGGATGTTTTCAAGACGGGGTTCCGCAAGCCCAGCGCCGCTGGCCCCCCTCCTCAAATGAAGGAGTCTGCGTAAGCTACGCCGACTCCTTCAAGTCTTTCCACGTCGCCCTCGAGGAGCGCAGACGTGAGGCATCTGTGGAACTGATTAGAGCCAAGCGGATGCCGTCGTGGGACCGCAAGAGCGATCGAAAATCCATCTGGGAACTTGACCAGAGACGCATCTACGGCCCGGGATTTAGTGATGTGAACCTCGTCTAGATGACTGGTTCACACGAAACGGGAAATGGGGGAAGTTACACCAGCGGATGTGTTTGGTGTCATTCGGTTGACACTGAACCAAAGGTACAACGGAAAAAAGTGCGTGAATCGGATACAGTTGGTTTTTGGGTTGGTCATTTTCAATAAGGACGTAGATGCTATCCGTATTATTACTATTCTATAGGCTGCGGTCTGTAGTCTTTCCTACCCATAATCTCTTAGTCTTGGTTCACCTACTCCTGCCGCGTGCTACTGTGATATCGACGTTGAACAAAAATCCACACGATATGACACCACTTACATGGCTTCTCCAAGAGAACCAACGTCAGCGTTGTCATGCTACGTTCTTAAGAAGGCACTTATTAATTTAAATCCGAACACTGATCTACCACTAGAACGTAGTTTGAGAGAAGAGGCAAACAGGGTACCAGCGCCTATAACGACATGGCTGTTCTGATTGGATACACTGCCGCTCGAGACCACTCGTACTACGTATAGGGGTGTGCGCATTCGTGCTACTTAGAGTGGAAGAGTGGATAAGGTAGTTTTTGGTGGGTGGTGCATTCAACCGACTGGGAGCCCCTGCTTGCTTGTCAACTCTGAGCCTTTGAAAGGGGGGGGGGGCTGAGTTGGGGCGAGCGGCAATGCGTGTTATTGGGCTTCATTAACATTTTCATGTTCCTCCTGTGCTCCTGAAGCATATGAATAAGATTATGGATTTGCCCCTTTCTGAGATTCCCATCCGAGTAGACTGGTTGTGCTTGCTATCGTGCTACCTGACATTGTAACACGGCATGGGCATGTAATACATATTTTTTTTGTTTCTTTTGTCAGCGCATCCTCCTTTGTCATGGCCTTGGCCCGTGTTACAGGAGAAGTCCGGATCGAAACTTGCACCGCTCTTGTTAATTTTATGTTTTCCCCGACTACGGCCTGTTTTATAGGCTCGTCGTTTTGTGTTTTCCAGACTGGGACTCGTGGAGGCTATTCTTTGAAGCGACGGCCGCACGCGGGTGATAAAGTAGCTTTCCAATCATTACATCCGAGAACCTCTTTTGAACACCGCTATCGCCACTACGACAAACTGGAAGCATATTTTAATAAGTCTTACAAGAGCTGACTATAATTGTTACATAGGATATCAATGCTCGACCTTGAAGAAGTGATGATTGTGGTGATATTGGTGATGATAATGTTTCTTGGGATGTATGGCCGGAAAACCATTTCACCGCCCACTCTGAGCCGTTTGCGGGAAACAGCTCAATCAAGTTCAATAAGTCTTTGGATCCACACAGTTTACTTCTCCAGAGTCCACGACCGACATCCGCGGGCCGGTATCGTGAGCCGTGGGACCCGGTCGAGGTGAGGTTGTCGGGGGTGGAACCGGTCCTCGAGTCGGCCGGTAGACGATGTCTTGCAAAGGTAAGTCTGTCCGTGATTGCGTTGAAAAGAAAAGTCAATTGGCCCCCAGACTTGCACCCCACACACGAACAACGACACAGTCAAAAGCTAGGCTTCCACTCTCCATACAGCAATCTTGCCTCGTATCTTTTGGTCAGCAAGACGCAGCATCTTACTGTGTTATTGAAGACAAGTCCAGTGAGACAAATAGGCACTCGGTGAACCCTCGGCCGGCAACCACACCGATTCACAAGAAAAACTTCTCCAAGTCTCGCGGGGGTCCAGTGGGTTTCTTGGCTTCCCGTTGCCCCTCCTTTGGTGCCATTTGCCCCGCAAAGTGACATTTCGGCGTCGATTGCGTGCTCTGGCCAAGCCCCACCCCCATTGCCTAAATCGGCGCTCTCTTTGCACCTTAAGCTCCAAGAGCTCTCACCTCACCAGCATCTCACCTCACATGAGCAATGAGAGAGCCAGCCGTTGCTGCAGCATCGTAAAAAAGATGAGAAATGTGACAAGCTCTTATTTGTCGACGGAACCAAACTATTGGACATTTTCCTCGGATCCAATTGGCTATTATTCAAGCTCCCTGGTAGCTGACCGCGGGATTGGGAGGGGTCCCCTCCTCCATCGGGAAACGATACCTTTGAGATGTTGCTTCCTTGAGATACCTATCTTACACGGTGGACAACTTTTTCTCTTCGGTCCCTGGTGACACATCCTCACAAGGCCAAGGGGTCAATTGTATACACACACATACAACAGCCCGACCTATGGTGTGATGTCCCCTCAATGGCATCATCGTAGCTAGCCCATTTTCTCTGCCTCACTCTTCCCACTGCTGGACAACGACCCCTACTAACCCCCCCTCCCCCTCCCCTCTTCCGTGCTCTTCCTTCGCCGTTGCGTACTCCGTTGCCGGTCCGTCTCTTGTGTGTGTCTCTCTCTTAAGCGCGTCACCGTCCCCGTTGCTCTTGTGCTCGCACACCTTTAGAGAAAACCTGTCTCCTTCCCCTCCTCCTCCTCTCTTCCGTGTCTCCAATTCCTCCCTCTTCCTGTATACCTACACATTCCTTGCTACAGAAGAAAGTCAAACTTGAACAATGGCTGAAGAACTGAGCAAGAACTTTGAGACTCTCCAGCTCCATGCGGGGTATGTACGATCTCTTTCGCGAACACTGCCCACCACCACCACCACACCGAGCAAACATGCCTTCGGGGGAGCAAAACAACCTTTCCGTTGCTTTTGGAGCTGTTCGAGACCTGTTAACAAGCTGACGTGTGGGGATTGTTGTATCTCTGTAGCCAGGAACCCGATCCGACCACAAACTCGCGCGCCGTCCCCATCTACGCGACCACGGTTCGTAAAACCTTCCCGGCGACGACGAGCAATGAAGCTCTCTTGTCTCGCGAGCGCGGGCGCAAACATCGTAGGACTGACAGCTGATTCCAACATGTGTAGAGTTTCACCTTCAATGACTCGGCTCACGGCGCGAGGCTCTTTGGCCTCAAGGAGTTTGGCAACATTTACAGCCGTATCATGAACGTACGTCGAAGTCACTTCCCTCAACAGATCCCATGTTAAATCGTGTACCACGTTTGAAAACTGACCGTGCCTCTTCCCCCACCTCCAGCCCACAGTCGACGTCTTCGAGAAGCGCATCGCCGCGCTCGAGGGCGGTGTCGCGGCCCTGGCCACCTCTTCTGGCCAAGCCGCCCAGTTCATCGCCATCAACGCCCTCGCGCACGCCGGCGACAACATCGTCTCCACCTCGTTGCTCTACGGCGGCACCTATAACCAGTTCAAGGTCTTCCTCCCCCGCCTCGGCATCCACACAAAGTTTGTCGACGGCGACCGCGTCGAGGATATCGCTGCCGCCATTGACGACAAGACCAAGGCCGTCTACGTCGAGAGCATCGGAAACCCAAAGTACAACGTCCCGGACCTCGAGGCTATTGCCAAGGTTGCGCACGAGAAGGGCGTTCCCGTCATCGTAAGTCTTCCCCCTCCGTCTCCACCGTTGGTTGTACACACAGCAGAATGGCAAGCTAACACCAGAAACCCACAGGTCGACAACACCTTTGGCGCAGGCGGCTACTTCATCCGCCCCATCGACCACGGCGCCGACATCGTAGTCCACTCGGCGACAAAGTGGATCGGCGGCCACGGCACCACCATCGGCGGCGTCATCGTCGACAGCGGCAAGTTCAAATGGGACAACGGCCGCTTCCCGCAAATGACGGAGCCCTCGGACGGCTACCACGGCCTCAAGTTCTGGGAGACTTTTGGCCCCATCACCTTCATCATCCGCGCCCGCGTCGAGATCCTCCGCGACCTCGGCGCCTCCCTGAACCCCTTTGCCGCCCAGCAGCTCATCATCGGCATCGAGACCTTGTCGCTGCGCGCCGAGCGCCATGCGCAAAACGCCCTCGCGCTCGCCAAGTGGCTTGAGGCTAGCGACTATGTGAGCTGGGTGTCGTACCCCGGTCTCGAGAGCCACCCGTACCACGAGACGGCTAAGAAGTACCTCAAGCGCGGGTTTGGTGGTGTCTTGAGCTTCGGCGTTAAGGGCGGTGGCGATGCTGGCAGCCAGGTTGTCGATGGCTTCAAGCTCATTTCCAACCTCGCCAACGTCGGTGACTCCAAGACCTTGGCTATTCAGTGAGTTTGCGACCCTTCCATCACGGAGTGAGAGAGCACTGGCTCTCTCTTTCTCTTCCCCAGAATAGTTCCACCCGCTAACCATTACCCAAAAGCCCCTGGACCACCACCCACGAGCAGCTCTCTGACGAGGAGAAGACGAGCTCCGGCGTCAGCGAGGACCTCATCCGCATCTCGGTCGGCACGGAGCACATTGACGACATCATTGCCGACTTTGAGCAGTCCTTCAAGAACGCCTCCTCCGCTTCCACCACGGGCAAGCCCGCCCCCGCGGCCGAGACCAAGCAGGACGACGCGCCGCTTGCGCCGTAGGTCGGTGACAAGACATGCCGTCTGAAATGAATTATTTTTGTTTTTTGCCTTGTTTTTTTTTTCTGCCAAATGTACGAGAACGATAAAATACCCGTAGAAAAAGCAACTTACGATTCTTGTCTTACCTGGTTGCCCTGTCTTGATTACTACGTGGCTTCGCCTGCACGGAGAGAAAAGAGAAAGCCGAAGAAACGCCATCATGCTTGAAATGACCCCCTTGATCGTTCCTCGTGCAACATGATCAGAAACACTTACAAAGTTGATCCAGCCAAGCCAGCGTTGCTCAGGCCTGGGGTTCCGCGTCCGACGTTCGCTGTACATAGATGTGATAGGCAAGGGCAGGGCGTACATCACACATCTGCCATGCCAGCCCACGACGACTCAAACCATGAAAGATACCAGGTACCGAAGATCAGAAGGAAAAATGGGTGCGCGTGAAAAAGTGAACCCCTCCTGATCCCTGGTGTCCATCCTCCGATAAGAAAGTTGTGTGATCAGCCCGCCACGCTTCCCCCCGTGGCAACTCGCAAAGCACGTAACGAAATGAAACGTGCCGACGCCACAAATTCCTAGTGGGCGGCGCGACGGCATTTTAGTCTTCACCTTTTGGTGTGGATATGTACAAAACACACATGTTGCCGTTGCAATACGATGGAGACACAAGTGATTTGGGCCGGCAGATATTCGTGAGGGGGTAGATACAGGAGTTGAGATGGAGTCACAAGGTGGACGGACTGACAACTGCTCTGCGTTCATACGACCCTACGAACAAACCCTCAGAATCGCGGGGACGAAGAAACGTGCGGGATCCCAACAAGGTCTGTGGTTGTAAACCGACCCGGCCAAAACCCGGCGCCGGTGCGAATAAGTAGGCAGCTCCCAACTGGAATGGGTGGGGGGGGGGGGGATGTTCACCGTCCCCACAACTCCCCGGCGCGCGGTAGACGACCACCGGTTTAATCCGCCAACGGAATTTGATTGGCCGAGAGAGGTTCGCTCCATTCAACGACGCCTCTTGTCTTGCTCTCTGACTGTGTGTGTGTGTGTCCATCCACATCCAAGCTCCAAATCCCACCGCCCGCTGATTCTAGCTATATTCCTCGACATCCCACCTCGAAGGAACATCACGAAAACTCCTCCCCCGCCCTCTCTCGCTGACATAGCTCCTTTCTTCTTCTTTTCTTGTTACCCCCTCTCCTGTTGCTTGTCGGTTACACCAAGAGGTCTACCATCCTCTCGTCGCCAAAACCCTCGAATCTGAGACCACCGCCCACCGCTGCATTATCAAGAACACCACCACCACGATGCGCCTCCTCACAACCCTCGCCCTCGCGGCGACATCAGCATCCGCCGCCTCCCTGACCCTCTCGATCCCCTCCTCCCAAGCCCTCCCGAACCCCTACACGCTCCCGCCGTCAACCCACGCCACGCTCTCCTCCCTCGGCGAAACCTTCTCCGCGCCCTTGTCGGTAAAAAACACGTTCGTCTTCCATAACCTCACCGACGGCGGCAGCGCCAGCGCAGGTTCGTACCTCGTCGACATCCACTGCGCAACTCACGCCTTCGCGCCCCTGAGGCTGGACGTTGATGCCGAGGGCGGGTTGGCCGCGTGGGAGACGTATCGCGGTAACGATTGGGATAACAAGGGCGAGGCGTATGCGGCAAAGGAGTTTGAGGGTGGTGCGAAGGGGTTCGAGGTGCGGGTGTTGGGACAGAAGAATTATTTTGTGGAGAGGAGCAAGTGTGAGTATTTTCTTTCTGTCTTTTCGTCCCGTCCCTGCCTCCTGCCTATTTGCCTATGTGAGATTTGTAGTGCTGGGTTTGCTTGGTGTCTATGGCAAGGAAGCTACGCCCACGGAGCTGTCGGCGCTTCCACGACGAGGACCTCTCTCGATACAAACCCGACTGGGGAGCACAGAAACGCTAACAACAAAACCTCACAGTCTCCATCCTCACCATCCTCAAGAACCCCATGATCCTCCTCGGCCTCATCAGCATGGGCATCTTCCTCGGCATGCCCTACCTCATGGATAACAGTACGTTCAAATCCCAGCCTTTCCCCGTGTTCCTTGAATGCGACAAAAGTTCTTGTCTGACACAAACCGTTTAGTGGACCCCGAAATGCGCGCCGAATTCGAAGAACGCCAAAAGAGCAACCCGATGAACTCCCTCCTCGGCGGCGGAGGCGGAGGCGGCGACGCGAACCCCATGGCCAACTTTGACATGGCGGGCTTCCTCGCTGGTACCGGTAGCAGCAGCAAGAAGGAAGAGTCTTCTGGTTCCAGTGCCTCCAGTGGCGGTGCTGGTGGGAAGAAGGAGAAGGGCGTGCGGAGATAAGAGAGTTTTTGTGTGTGACGAGAAGTAAAGAGGGGGGGGGGGGAGAAAGAGAGAATACAATCACACGGTTGTTCAAGATTGTTATTGCGGCTCCTATGAAATATAGGATCTAGGCTAGGGCGCTTCTTAGACCTCAATTCCCTATAAACAAGTTTTGACTAAATTTGGCGAACCAAAGATGCCGGGAGTCCATGCTCCCACTCATGGCTTCCTCCATATCATTGGGTTGGTGAACATTTCTCACCTCAAGCATCAAAAGGTATATGTTGCATCCCGATATTGTGAGTTTACATGGTCCACCCCCCCTTGTTGCCTACTAATTTCTTGTTCTTATGTTATTACTGATAGATCTGATTTGCAATGTCATACAAAATAACTAGTTGTCACATGGGCTGATACATCAAAGTATTCGCAGGAAAATGCAAAGAGACATGACGTTCAAATGCAAATGGGGGCTCTTTTTACTCATAAGAACGCATATTAGACGCACATTTATGCCCCCTGAAACCCGCACTTGTCCATTCCTTTACTTGCCAAACCTTCTCTCATGATCCATCCAGCAAGGTACGTTAGATTAAGCTGGCCGTAATCCAGTATCAGCCACTTAGAAGTCACCTCCAAAGTCGTCTCCACCACCGAAATCATCACCGTCCTGTCCGTCATCTGTACCAAAGTTAGCAGCCGTTCAAATATCAAATCAAGAGGTCAAAGGATTGCAACTCACTGTATCCATCGGCATAGGCCTCCTGCTGCTCGTCATTGATGTGATCCGCAATCAACGCACCACCAAGCAGACCGGCACCGGCACCGAGCGCGAGACCGCCCGCCATACCCATGCCGCCGCCGCCGGGTTTCCGACCGCCGCCCATTCCACCCATGCCGCCCATGCCCCGGCCGTAGCCCTGCTGCTGGGGATATCCGCCATAGCCCTGCTGCTGAGGGTATCCCCCGTAACCCTGCTGAGGCGGATAGCCGCCATATTGCTGCTGCGGGGGGTAACCACCGTAGCCTTGCTGCTGAGGGTACCCTCCGTACTGCGGCTGGGCGTGGCTCGAGCCGCCCATGCCGCCCGTCTTGGCCTTGCCCAGCAGCTTACCCAGGAAGCCGCCGGAGCTCTTTCCCCTCGTCTCCTGCGCGCGGGGCGGGAGCTGGTCGGGGAACGGCGACTGCGACTGCTGATGTTGCTGCTGCTGGAGGTTGTAGCCCGGGGGCATGGGGGAGTGGGTGCCGCCGCCGCCGCCACTGCGTGCGCGGGCTTCTTCCTCGGCCTGGAGCTGGCGGGCTAGGCGCTCGTCCTCGGACATTGTGTTGGAGCCGCCGGCGCCGGGAGGCTGAGGGGTCGAGGACTGGTTCTCGTAGGGGTTGCCCTTCTGGTCGTAGGGGTTGTGCTTTTGATCGACCGGCGGCGTCGGGTGGTCGCCGGGGCGCGGGGCGTAACCGGGAGGGGGGCCACCCGGGTGCCCGTCTTCTGCTGGTGGGGGAGGGGGAGGGAGGGCGGGCTCTGTCGGCTTATCCCATTGGGATTGTTTGGTGTGAAGGTTTACGTAGAACCTGGAGGTGGGTTTGTTAGCATCAGCGAGCATAATGAAAGAGAGGTGAAAAGTTGCTGGGGAATAATGTGTGAGCTTACCATTCTTTGTACTGATCATTCCATCGAGCGATCCAGCCGGGAGGAACCTCGGGGGCCTTGGGAGGCGGAGGACCCGACGGGGGAGCGAAATCGTCGGCCATGTGTAGTACAGTGAAGTCAGGCGCAGAAGTGGTAATGCTGTTTAATGCGATTAGAACTTCTCGGTGGTGCGAGGCCTTTCAATCGATCGATGTGGTTCGGGGTAGATTGTTTGGTGTAGGTGAATGAGTTGCGGAAGAGGTGTGTGTATCCGTGTGAAAGGGCAAACAGAGTTTCCAAGTTTCGACAGCTACTTCAGATAACTCGAGAAATCTTTGTAGAGGGAAACAGGTACCAAAGTTCGAGGTTGGGATGAGATGGGAAATTGGGGGAAAGGGGAGAGGGAAAGTATTGCCTCCTACCTTTTACCGCGGGGTGTCAGGTGTTGTAATGGGGAGGCGCAATAGGTCGACTGGAGCTGGGCGCGGAGGGCCGGGATTACGTCTTTCAGTTTTGGAACGTTTCCCTTCCCCCTCCTCTAGCTAGACGGAGGGTACCTATACCGCGCAACCTACGACACCCCGATGTTTCCGCTGCTCCCGCCGTCCAGTGGCATCTTGGCAGAGACTTTGAGGGACAAGGAGGTAATCAAGCGAGGCTTCGTGTCTACACTCAATGAACCTAGCATCTTCTCGAACAGTACGGTAAACATGGAGATTACGGTCGCTATTGTCTATCACGTTGATGACATAACATGCCAGGGTGCCAAGCTCAGATAGAGGACAAGAGGCAAAAGGATACCTACGGATATCTGGACCAGTACCTACGTAAGGCAAGTCAGATCACAGCCGGGCTCTAGTTCGATTCGATCCCGCTTCTCGAAGCTGCTCTCACTGCCATCATGTGCCTATCTTGCCTCTTTCCAGTCCAGAGTCCAGTCCCAGGGTGTCCTGCGGGTTCCATCTTGGCTATGCTGCAACAGCATGATGCGAGCTGTTGCGTGCTGCAAAGCACAGCCCCTCCCTCCCCCGCTGATGCTTGTCCAGCGGATTACCTAGCACCCTAGGTGCCCCTCACGCCGCCGCCCCTCACCTGTTGCCCCCGCCCTCTCATAGCTCTCTGCCCACTCGTGTGCCACTCTGCCTGCGTGTCGCTTTCCCACTGCGACCCGGGATGCCGGAGAGCCGATACGTAGGGCAAGGTATCTGACAAGTCTCTTTGCAGCGTAAACAAGCTTTCTCATACCCCGAAAGTACTCCTCTCCATTGCAGTAAAACCGATTCCCCTCCAAAAAAGCTACCTCAGGTCGAACTGGAAACGTTTCGCACAGGCCAGTCTACCGTGGAGCTTCAGGTACCGAAGATTTTGACCCTTTGCCTCAGTGTTTCTCATAGCTTACTATTCAATTTTGTATGAACGGTAAAGGAGTAACTAGTTATTGACGACGCACAAATATTGTGGCTGGTGATTTTTTTTTTTTTTTTTTTTTTGCTGCCGTAGTACAGAATCAACATGTGGCAAAGAATGACTCCTTTTCCAGCCAGGTCCAGATGACTTTAACCTATCTCTTCCCTCGTGTGGCGGTGCCCCCCATTACTTCATCATCAACTTCGACCCTTGGGTCGTGATACCCCCATCCCAAACTACAAAATTGAGAGGCCAACAACCACGTCGCACGCCGCCCTCTGCGCCAAGACTAGCCCGTTTCCCCTCTTCCACTATGTTTCCAACAGAACCACTCCTCTCGGGCGAAGAAGCCGACAGTTAGCATTGCGAAGACACCTGTGGCGCAGTATATTCGGATACTTGGCATTGTTACTTCCCGGCGCCAATTTGTTAACTCACACACATGTACAAATCCACAAAGGTCGGTTTAAGTTACTCGCTGGGTCTCCATGCCATAAGAGAGAAGTGCCATCAAACAGCTTCATCGAAAAAAGGGCCCTTCCCTCAGGCGTCTATCCCATCTAGACATATAAGCACGCTAGCGCAGGCAAAACTCCCGGTTCCTCTCAAGTGTACAATTTCTCCAAGTGCTGTAACAAGCATGATCAACAACTATAGGTAACGTGAGTAAGCCTAGCTCATGGCAGGCCTCTCTCGTCCCGTCTTCTCTCTCCAAAGAGGTAGGCCGCCTCCATGCAGTAGGCACCGCCTCCGCTAGCCATCCGCCGCTCGCTGCCGTAGCAGATGACGACCGCATCCAGAATACCACTGAGAATACCTTCCATGGCGCCCATGACCGAAAATCCAATAAAACTGGCTACTATGCCAACCACGTATGCGTACGCCGAGCCCCGTACTCCCATTCCGTCCGGCAGAGCTATAGAGAGCTGCTTCGCCGTCATGACCCATCCTGCAAATCCGAGTCCCGTCGCCATGATGAACCGTGTCGCATACAAAAGCATCTTTGCGAGCCGATAGGGAAGCATAGGGGAGTGACTGGACCGCCGTGTGCTGAACACATGCGGTGTCAATGTTGTCGTAGGGCGCTGCGGGGACAAGAAGTCCATCTGGCTAAGACCGCGAGCCGCCGTGTGGAGGTTCTGCGAGTGAATGGCCCCGTAGGTGATGGTGAGAGGGTTCGTGAGCGCTGCGATGGGCGTCGGGATCCACATGGCGGCAATGTGCTGCAGGATATTAGCCAACTTGCGAGGCAGCACGAGCAGCGGCGCCCGAATAAGCAGCGCAATCAACGTCGACTCGCAGATGCTGCCAAAGATGGTTGTCGTCGCGTGGTTAAGCGCGGCCGTGACAATCTCCGCCGACGTTGGAGCCGGCGCCGCGTTGCGGTGGAAGTACCATTGAGACACTGTCGCTGCTGTGGTCGCCCGTTGCACCGCGTTGATGACTCCGATTGTCCACATGTACATCAACACGAACCAGATACCCAGCCACCAGCTGGACACACTGATGATGAATCTGGCAAGTCTTCTGGAGAAGTATCCTCCCAAGAAGATTCTCGAGAACATCCACATCCAGATCCAGGTCCATGTTACTATGACTGCGAGACAACTGAAACCCAAGATGAGGAGTGCCGTGTTTGCTGCAAGAATTCTCGTGGAGAACTCCAATATCTCAATCGCCTGGCGGATGGCGTTACGGCCCTGCCAAGCCGTGTAGACCCAGACGCAGGCTGCGATGCCAGGAACAAGAGCAGCCCATCGCATCGCTCGATCTTGGAAGCTGGTCCCGTGTGATCTGCCCTCATAGCTAGAAATAAAGGGGTATAGTGTGAATGAAAACATGATGATAGGTACTGCAACGAGAATCACCATTGCCAGCGGCCTGGCAAAGGATCGAAGTGCCGCGAGCCACACAAAGGATACCAGGATCGAAATGAGAGTGTCCACAGCGAGCATGTGAAAGGATGCTTGCAATGTTGTATAGACAGTATCACCCCATCCTTTCTTGGGCGTGCCCGTGTGTAGCCAGACAAGCACAAATGTAGACACCAGACCGGCAAGCGCAATAAGGAAGATCCAGGCGAAGAACGGGTCGTACTTGAAGAGTTCTCCTTCGATCAGGGGAACAGTGGCAGGCAGGGCCTCATCGTCAGAGCTGGCTCGGCGGGCCTCGTCAAAGTCATCTTCCCGAGTAGCTTCCCTCCTCAGTGGGAACTTGCGGTCTCCGGACTTGGATTGAAACTTCTGGAAGGCTGGCGGGCTCGAGTCCGTAGCCGCCTCGTTTAGCAGCGACGCAGATGGGTCGTCGTCGTCCATGATCTGGGAATCTAGCCCGATGTCGACCATTTTAGGATTCGTATCTGACTCCCGGTCGGAAGTTTCTCGCGGGACATCTTCCGACTCTTCGTCTATGACATCCCTCCCGCGATTCCGTCCACTGAAGCTCCTCGTGCCGTTCCAACTGCTGCGAATACCTCTCCGCAGCCCGCGATCCTGGTATCTTCGGCCGGGTGTTTCGCTGCTCTGTTCTAACGAGCCGCGGCTAGCGTCTGGTTCCGTCTCGGAGCTCTCTGCCATCTTGCTCGCGGCGGCCACGCGCCGAGACATGTGGAGGGCGGCCATGTCCGCAGCCTCGCGATCCCTCTCGTCTTCTTCGTCCTCCTCCATGTACTCGTCGAGCGTGCTGTGGAATAGCGGCGCATCCTGAGCGGCGGACATGCGGGAAGCAAAGCCCATTTGACCATAACGCGAACCGCCCGTCTGGTAAGGGTTTCCTCCGTAGCCTCTACCTAGGAAGGAGCGTCCGCCATTTCGAGGAGGGCCCCGCGATGACCAGTCGTTCGGTTGTCGTGGTGGGTTCTCGTTGCCTTGATCTTGTCCCGCAAAGTTGGACAGTCGGGACTGTGATTGCGCCAGAAACCTGGACGCATCTGGGGGCGAGTTAGTTGGTTGACCGCCGTCGCTGGGCGTCGCCGAGGATGGTTCCGCAGCGGTGTATGAGACTTACATTCCGAGAACATGGTGCTACCGATAGCGAGGACCTTGTCCCCTCAAAAAAAGTTCGCGTACTCTTGGAGGGTGGCAGAACAGGAACGCGGGACGACGGGGCAAATAAGTGTCGGGCTGGTGAAGGTCCTATGAATGATGATGACGGACAAAGAGTAAACGGGTGGAATGTTTGGGTGCCGGCGGCGGCGGTGGACACTAATGGTATACGCAAGCAGAACCTTGAAAAAAGACGGGTCGACGGCAGTTCCTGCAGATGGCCTATTCTTGGACCGGAGAGAATGCCACCTTTGAGATGAGGTACGGACAATAATTCTGATCAAGCCCGGAGAGCTCGTGAGAAGGGCATCTGCACCGGGTTCTGGGAAAAGATATGAATCAAAGGTCATGCGGTACGGACGAAGAGGTGAAAGGTGCCTAGGCCGGTGAGTGACTGATGGAAGTGGGCCGGGCCAGTGAGGGAACTAGGTGGGAAAGTACATGGACGGCCGGGGGGTCGCCTTCTGGGATGCCCGTGGAAATCCCACCACCCAAGGTACCTTAGGTAACCCGAGGCTTTACCCGCCTGTTGCTGTTAGGCAGCGCGGACGCTGATGCAGCCTAAGCAGTGGCATACAGATGGCACACGACACCCGCGACATCGCCCACACGACAATGACAAGGTACCTTTTACCTGGGAACCCTTCATGCCGGGTACCTACCTCACTAACAACCCAGCCACTCACAACGTCGATACCCGTGGAGGCAGGCAAAGCAGGGGAACGTGGGAGCCACCCACGGGCTGCGGCCGGCACTCATCGGACTTATCGTGGTGGGCGATAAGGCGGTAAGTTGGCGCATGCATTGCAGCATTGCAGCATTGAGGGCCCGGATTGCCTGAGATGGCATGGCTGCGGTTTGGCGGGCTCCTCCCAGTTCCATGTTCGCCTTGATCTGGGAACTCCGAGAAGCGCATAGGTATCCTACTCCATACAGCATTAACCCAAGGGAAACCTACATGAGCTGGAGCACGTCTTTCAACTTGTTGCATCTTGGTTTTTGACTGCGGTTCCATGGCACCTGCTCCCCTTACCCAGTGGAGTGATTGCTTCAGGCGTCGCAGTTCTTCTGCCCACTGTCCTCCATTCTATACCTGCCTACCTTATGTGTACTGTGAGATTCCAAAGACTCTTCACAATGCGTCCTGCATGACACTGACATGTCCTGGCGCGAGACCAGCAACTAAGAAAGCACTTGGCCCAAATTAACCCCAGTCCCGAGTCATTCAGTGCTGGGTAAGTCAGTCATTTCCCCAACCATCGTCAACTGACAATCACCACAGCTGGCCGCTGTTATTGCTGCTGCTGCTACTCCGTACTACTACCTTACCTTACCTTACTCTACGCAAACAAGCGGCTCGCCTTATCGCTAAGCACTTGCGTCACTGATAACACCATGCCAAATCCCTGCCGCCCTTTCCCTGGTCATCGGTCCAGTTTAAACTGGGGCTCTGTCGTCTTCTCAGGTCTAGCCTGTGACAGGGGGGAACGCCATCTTAAACACTGACCAGCGTGATGCAACTCGCCATTTCTTGCAGAGCAGCACATTTCCATCTCCGATTCCACCTCTCAGAGATGCTTTAGAAAGCAGTTCGCACAACCCAACCTAAAGGTCATCTTCCACTTTGGATAAAGGAGAGGTCGCCATCAAAGTCATCCCCAGGCTCAAACATCATCTCTCGGGAACCACGCGGACACCGAACATTGAGAACAGACGACATCCCTTCTGTTGCCAACCGTTTCCCAAACATCCCACTCAATTCGCCCGTCTCCCTCAATCGGAGCCGACGCAACCCCCCCCCCCCCTCTTAGTGCCCAGTGTCCCCCCTTGTCAGACGTGAACTTCTGAACACGTGCTCCGATAACCGACAGCTGTTTGAAGCTTTCCAACATCAGACCAACCGTCAACAACCAACAACACCACCACTGCACTGCTAAACCACACCATACACGGTCCTCCTCCAATCCACCTCTTCGAAACCATCCATCACCAGCAGAAACGGTCTCGCGGGCCAGCCGAGAGAGACAATCGAAGAAAAGGGGCAAAAAAGCACAGCTATCTATCTGTCTGGTTCATCAAAGCCAAGGAAGCGAAAACCACAGACCTCTGCATCGAACCTCGCTCACGCGCACATACTTCCTCCATTCTCCCACTTCACGCACAAAAAAGCCACAGACCGCAAAGGGCCATGTCGTCTCCACCATGGGACTACATCGCTAAACTCGTCTGCATCGGCGACTCGGGCTGCGGTAAATCCTCCCTCACCATCCGCCTCTGCGAGGGCCGCTTCTCCCCGCACCACGACGTGACAATCGGCGTCGAGTTCGGCTCCCGCATCGTCCCCGTCGGTCCCCCAAACACCCTCCCTCCCCCCCTCCGGCCCCGGAACCCAAGACGAACCCGGACGGCAGCGCATCCTCCACCGGCCTCCCCGAACCCCCGCGTATCTCAGCAGCAGCAGACCAAGGGCCCCAGAAGCACATGAAGCTCTCCCTCTGGGACACAGCCGGCCAGGAAACCTACAAATCCGTCACGCGCTCCTACTTCCGCGGCGCCAGCGGCGCCCTCCTCGTCTTCGACCTCAGCCGCAAGCAGACCTTCCAGCACGTGACCGACTGGCTCAACGACCTGCGCCAGATCGCCGAGCCCGACATTGTCGTCATCCTCGTCGGCAACAAGGCCGACCTCACCCAGGGCGAGGACGGGGACGGCAACAACAAGCGCGAGGTGACAAAGGTCGAGGCCGAGGAGTGGGCCAAGAGAAACGGCGTCTTCGAGTACGTCGAGACGAGCGCCAAGAGCGGCGAGAACGTTGAAAAGGCGTTTATGCGCGTCGCCGAGAGGATATACAATAACATCCAGGCTGGGAAATACGACCTCAACGATCGGAGATCTGGTGTCAAGGGCCCGAGTGCGGGGGGCAACAAGCAAGTGAGAATAGGAGGCGACGCGAATAAGGGCTCCGGCGGCGGCTGTTGTTAGATGTGCCGCGAAACGAGCCAAAAACAAAAGCATACACGAGAAGGACAGTGATACCCAGAGGACCATTAGCAACAGTTTTCTCTTCTTCGTTCTTTCGCATTCAGCAACCCCCTTTGTACTACTACTTTTTTTGTAATTATAATGTATGGTCAATGGGCTGGTCAATTCACGACGAGAGAAAGAAATAGTAGGAACAAGGAACAAATTTCATATTGCATTATGTACGGAAGTTGCTATCCCGTCAACTTGGGCTTTCCCAAAGCTCAAAAGGCCCATCTTGCCACCGTTTTTATCGCCCATATCCGTACACAGAGAGAGTTGTGGGTAGAAAAGCCGCGTCATGAAAACCTCGGCCGTTCAAGTACATGATTCCCCGTGGAGGAATCGTTCTAATACAATCTTTGGCTTGACTCTTTGTCAGATTTAGTCAGAGATTCTCCAGCTGTCGAACCACTTCAAGTAGCTGTACTGCTTGTTGTTACCCGTCATGCCGAAGCAAATGGGGCTGAAGAGGATGTAGAGACCAATGATGGTGGCGTACAGGACGCCGTACACTCCGTACTGGAAGACCTGGTTCTTGTTGCGAAGGAACCAATCGGCCAAGAAACCAAAAGTAAGGATGGCGAAGTACAGCGCAGGGTAGTAGTGGTGGACGTAGGTGACACGGGCCATGACAACGAAGGGAAGGTAGTGAAGAAACCAGCCAGCTACGGGATACAGTCCCGCGTAGTGGATCTGGTCAATCTCCTTCGAGTTCAGATCGTTGTACCCGCGTTGCCAGCGGATCAAGTACCAGACGACGACGAGCCCGAAAACACCCAGGCCGGCGGTGGAACCCCAGTAGACCAGAGGGTTGCCGAGGAGGAAGTACTTGACAATGTTGTCGTCCCAACCACACATGCGCAGACCAACATTGAGAATGGGCCACTGCCACCATTGAGAGGCCAGGTCGTCCTGCTTATCGGGATCGGGCACAAGAGCGTTGTTCGAGGTCATCATGGCAACATTGAGATGGATGAAGTCGTGGAGGAAGGGGGACTTGTAAGAGCCAGGGTCACCAGGGGGAACTATGCTAGTTAGCAAGCTAAACAAGACAGACCGGATTCATAGCTTCAACTTACGCTTCTCGTTCCAGTGTGCCTCGACGTTCCAGTGGGTGTACGAGTCTCTGGGGTTGTTGGTCTTGGTGCAGGTCACCTCAATCTGCTTGAAACCCCACTGAGGCAGGTTAACATTGCCAGCGCGGAGGTAGCAGCCAAGAACCGGGTGTCTCAAGCGGAACGCCGTCGTCAGCGTGCGGATTCTGCTGCGGTCGCGGGAGGCGACATCACGAACGACCTCGACAGTCCAGTGGTCCTTGTCGTCGCCAATAGTCAAGTTGCCGTAGCTGGAAACTTCCTTATCGGACTTGGTCATGGGTGCAGCGATCTCGTGGGAGTGAAGGTTACGGCCGGTCTGGGCGTGGATGAGACGGATCGTCTCGCCGTCGCCAATGAATCGGGGAGGAGCTTCGGCGTCGTAGTCCGCGTCCGCACGGTTGGGGTAGAAGAACCAGTCGTTGTTGGCATCCTTGTGGTGGTAGCAGGTGACCTGCTGCTGAGTAGAGCCCTCGGGGTAGGTCTGGACGTGAGAGTGCAAGAGGCCACCACCGTATCCCATGTTCTTGATGGTCGCGCGCGATCCGTAGGCGATTTCCAAGGGGCTGTTCTTGCCGACCTCGGTGCCCTTCAAGTTTGCCTGGAACAAAGAGCTCATTTGCGCATCACCGGGACCAGTGTGGTCCAGAATGGCAAAGTGGAGGGCGAAAGAGAGCATGTAAACCAGGAACGGGACGATGATGAGGCCAACGACGCGAGTGACAACGTGAGCGCCCAGAGTAGTGACGGGCATCTTGGTGTTGCCGAACTTGGTCCAGAGGTCCTCGATGGTGTACAGGCCGACGAGGGAGGTGACGAAGAGACCGACGAGCTTGACACTGCACACGCAGCCAATGCTGAGGCCAGTCATGAACAGCCAGAAGAACCACTCGGGCTCGAATGCATCATTGCGCTGGTTGTGGAACTTGGCCCAGCAGAGAACAGTCGCGACAGTACCGAAAAGCAGCATCGAGTCGAGAAGGATGAAGCGGCTGATGGTGGTGTACGAGTTCTCGCAAAGAACCATGAGGGTGACAAGCCAGACAGCGGGACGTCTGAGGTTCAGCTCGCGGGCAGTGTAGTAGGCCATGGGGATGCAGAGGATGCCAAAGAGGGCGTTGAAAGCTCTCATGAAGGTGTAGTCGACATCCTCGGGGTATTTTTCTCCAGACTTGAACTCGAAAGATCCGTTGTAGCCAGCGAGAACACCGGAGAGGCCAACGAGCATCTTGCCCAAGGGCGGGTGAACGTCGAAATAGTATTCATGCTTGATGTAGTGAGATCCGAACTTTCCAAAGTGGGCCTCGTCCCAGGTAACGATGTCGCTGATGCCAATCCTCCAGAGTCGGGTGAAGATGGCGACGGTCGTGAAGATGACGGGGGCGATGATGGCCTCCCATTGATCGAGGAAGGAGCTCTGCTGAGGAAAGAGATGAGCGTCAGTCCCCGAATCAGTGTACAAAAGCCAGTGCTATTGTAGAGAGGGAGGCGCTTACCTTCTTGACAAGCTTCTTCTTGTCGTCGATTTCAGGGGCAGCCGTTATGGGGACGGACTGGCCCTGGGGGACGGCTCGTCGTCTGACGCCATCGCCCACGTCCGCGCCGGACGCGACAATGGGCTTCTCGGTAGCCATGGCTGTTGGTGAGACCAGTCAGCAAACGGAAAGGCGGCGTATGGAATGGGTTGGCCGGGAGTAGAGACTGACTCTCGAAATGGGATGACCGAATGCGTTGAAGAAGGCAGGCTTCAAGGGGGGGTGTGCAGGAAGAGTGGAAGTCAAGCTCCAGGAACAGGAGCTCTGAGCTCCAGGTTAGTGATCGGACGAGTCAAGACTCAAAAAAAAACGCCCGGGGGCAAGAAAAAGTTGGAGAATTGAGAAAGGTGAAGAGAAGCCGCGCAAAAAGAGAATCAGCAGGTTTCTCTTGAGGCACAGGTGTTCCGCAAACCAAACCAGCTCATGAAAAAGAAGGTGAGGTCAGTCAGCTGGGGGGAAGGAGGAGAGAGAAAGGGAAAGCTGAGCGAAGGCATCCAGAATTACCAGGGAATCATGCAATTAATATGGAGGTGCCCTATGGCCAGGTGGGAATTTTTTTGGTGAGGTCTGAACTAAATCGGGAGGAGCTGGGAGCTGGGATTCTGGGAAGGAGAGAGCACCCTTCGACCCTTTGGAACCCCCTTGCGGCAACACGAAATAAATGCCACCTATGCACCAACAGACACGGTATCCCTCCCTTTCCACTCTGACCACACTTTACGCGAATCTCGTCCCTAGCAAGCTGGGTTCAATGGCCGTGATCTATTGGCTCAGCTGCCCTCAAGCGGCCTTGAGTGGCCTGGAAGCGGGTTTCCTACGCCGCATACCTTGGGCAGGCCGCGCAGGTCCTCTCGATGGAATGGCCTAAATGGCCCGGGAAGGACCCCAAATAGCCCCTCCGTTACCCCCTGCCCCCACAGGCTACCTTACCTTCCAGCTGCCTACCCCTGAGGTCCTACAGATGGGATCCCCACGCGGCTCTCGCTCTCGACGATCAATGTCAATGTCGATGGAACCTGGGATCCTACTCCTTGCACTCACCTTACTGTGCGTCTCGCTATATTCGGTTCCAGCATCGTGACATTCAACACTACGGATACATCATACCTATTCCCAACTCCCTTGCAAGGTACCATTCAAGGTCATACCTTATTTATACCTTACCTTACATACGGATACAGAGCAGCATCGTCATCTTCAGCCTGGCATCCAAAGCATCGGGAGCAATACAGCTTGGACGCACCTGCAGCCACCTTATACGGCGTTGATTTTCCTCCACAACCACTATGCTAGCACCATAGCAAAGACCAGACGACACGACACAATTCATCCTTTTTCTCTTTCCTTTCCATGGACAAACACAGAGGCCCGAACTACGAAAGATGCCAACTGCACAATGTTCTGTCTTCGTGACAGCTGTGGCTCAGACGTGGTTTCTGACTGCGCTAACCCTTCCGGGCCGCGCGATAAGCCCCCGCTTTCGGAGCTAACCGGAAATGCCAGTGCGCATCTTCCATTCAATCCCATCGGCCTACGGATACACGTACCTTAGAGACCATCGGCCGCGGTGTGGACTAGATCTCGGCGATTCGGGGAGTCGACGGCGGTGGAGGCCTGCTCCGTGCAGATTGACCGCAGATGCGGTGGCTCTCCAGTAAGGTTGAGCTGCCTCCGGAGAGCACAGCTGCACGGCACTAAGGAGTACTCTCACCGGTCGCCTCAACCCGAATCAAAAAGTGCTTTTACTTCTCCTGTCTTGTACTACGGAGCGCAAAGCCTTTCCCGGCATACCTACTTCTCATCCAAAGAAGCAAAGACCGGGAAGACCTGATCTGTCGCCGGGAGTCCGCCATCGCGGTGTTTCTTCAGAGAAAGAAAAAAAAAAAGGGGTCACTGCTTCTGCGGCCTGCCCACCTCTCTCACGGTTCACCTCAAGACACTGGACCAGTCACCAATCTAACTCACCATCGTCTGGGCGCGGCCCATCTGCCCCGCCGAGTCAAGCCTCTTTCTCTCTCACTCTGCAGCATGCTGAAGCCCGCATGCGGAAACGCCAGACAGGTGCATCACATGTCTTTTTTCGTCCCTACTCTCTAGTCCACTCCGTACTGTTTCCCCCCTCCTTGGCTGGTCCCGGTCTGATCCATAACATATTGTCGGCACAGACAATCGTTGCTAACAATCGCCCCATCGCGGTGCAAATGTACATGTTCCAGAGACTCTCTGACACCTGATTTGGACTCAAATCAAGCCTCAGGTTTCTCTTTCCAAAAGTAAACCCCCACTGCGTCCACCATTCTGGATCTGAACCGTCTCCGCCGACGCCGCCGACGAGAAAGAGCGGATTGCATTAGGGGTCTCGCCCGTCTTATGTCATCGCTCCTGCATCCAATCGTCCGGTCCCGTACCACATCTAGCACCACCGACCACCACCACCACCACACTACTACAACCACCACTCCGACCATTACTACCGCTACTTCAAATATCCTTCCCGCGGTGCCCCGACCATCCAATCCTCGCCTCCCCTCCTCTCGATCTCGTCGCCCTGGATGTAGCAGACCTCCCCTGCTGCGCGTCACTTTCTACAAATCCGGCTCGGTCCCCCGACTCACCTCTCCGCCGAAACCTCCTACCTCTCAATGTCGTCTCTGGTATCCGACTTCCTCATCAATCCGGTCCTCCGACAAGCTCGTCGCTTCTCTGAGATCTCGAGAACAACCTTTGTTTCCGAACGGGACTCTTCATCCGACCCTATCGCCGTCCCGAGCGACGTGAATAGTCCCGCAACTCGGCATGCGATTGTTGCGCCACCCGAACCCACTCCAGCACGATCACTCGACATTGCGACACTACCGCCGACCGTCGACGACGAGCAACCTCAGTCTCCGGCTCCCCTAGTTCAGAGCCCCTCACCATACACGATGGCCGCGATGCCACCTACAACACGGGAATCTCTGCCCGCCGACGACGGCATGGGTGCGATGCGAAAGCGTCTACTTGACATCCAGTCACAAGATATCGCAGCAGACGACAAGGCCCGGCTTATGCATGAGGCTTTGATGGAGGGTTACCGCAAGTCGCGAGACGCTCCCCGCCAAGGCAATGCGCCGGCAGCCAGCGTGATAGCAGCAGGGGAAGCATGGGAACAGTCAGTCCCGATTGCACCTCTCGAGTCGTTAAAGTTTTGGCAACATGCGATAGGAGAGCCCTCCTCGCCAGAAAAGTTTATTTTGACCGCCGACGATGTTCGGCCCACGTACGCGGCCGCAAAGCTTATAACGAGAGAAGAGCCCGAGGGTGCTGTGATTCTTGGCTGCCAACACTACCGCCGCAATGTCAAGCTGCAGTGCTCGACTTGCGCCAAGTGGTATACTTGTCGTTTCTGCCACGACGCAGTCGAGGATCACACTCTTGTCAGGAAGGAAACCAAGAACATGCTCTGCATGCTCTGCGCCACACCTCAGAAAGCATCAGACGTTTGCGTGAACTGCGGTGAGACTGCAGCCCGTTACTACTGTAACATGTGCAAACTTTGGGATGACCATCCATCCAATCCCATTTACCATTGTAACGACTGCGGTATTTGCCGACGAGGAAGAGGCATCGGGAAAGACTTCTTCCATTGCAAGGTAATTGAATGATCTGAAGCCAGGGGTTTTCTTTGACGGCCGCTAATATGTGCCTTAGAAATGTTGCGCATGCATCTCGATATCTATTCAACAGTCACACAAATGTATCGAGCGCTCAACGGACTGTGACTGTCCTATTTGCGGAGAGTACATGTTTACATCTCCCAAGCCAGTCGTGTTTATGGGGTGTGGTCACAGCATTCACCAGAAGTGCTACGACGAGCACATGCTGAGATCATACAAATGTCCCATTTGCAACAAGAGTTTGCTCAATATGCAGAGCCAATTCCGCCAATTAGAGCTGGCTATACTTGCCCAGCCGATGCCCCCTGAATTCAGGGACACCCGCGCCACAATCTTGTGTAACGACTGTAGCGGGAAGAGTTCCGTCCCTTACCACTGGCTCGGACTCAAGTGCGCTATTTGCACTTCTTACAACACGGTAGAAATTCAGATCAGCGGTGGAAGAGAAGAGACGCACGCGACACACGCCAACCACGTGCCCGTCACGCCGGCAGCAGTTACGCCGGCTCTTCTATCTCCTGCGCTTCCTACCCCCGTAACGGCACAAGCTGCTGCTCCGGCAGGAATGGACATACCACAGATCGGCAGGCGACGACATTCGTCTCATGCTGGTCCCGAGGCACGTCATCTGATGTTGGATCGCTTTGCCAGGTCAGCCTCGCCAGCAGTCACACCTGGTATGGCACTACCAAACGCAACAAATGTTGCCATCGAAGAAGAAGACGAATCAGAGAATGACATTCTCAACTTATGGGGACGGGGTCATGGTGACTCGGACAGCGACACCATGTCGACAGATATGGACGAAGAAGGCTCGGAGGGAGAGGACGATGACGATGATGATGACTATGAGAACGAGATCATGCTCATCGGACATCGGTAACCTCGGCTACGATGCAATCATGATTTAGACGATGAGGTGCATCTGCAAGAGACGGATATAAGATTGGCGTACTGGGAATTTGCGATGGTCGCATGGTTTTTGGACATATGGGTTCGTCAAGGTCATCGTGGGCATATTACTAGCTGGTTGGGTAAGGGTTAGTCGGCGTTTTTAAGGATGGCAGAACTTGTCAGCCTCGAATGGCACTGCTGGGTTCTTTCTCATAGCCTTCGGAAACTGGGCATTATTTAAGTTTCCATAATAGACAAAAATTAAAAATGACAAGCAACACAGAATGCCTGAAACGCCTATTGTCCATGATTCCCTAGCCTTCCTGCCCTTTGCCGTAATTTTCATAGCAGACTCTCCCAGTTCGAGACAGCACGCTTATTGACGCCTCCGCGATGCAATTTGGGCGTCGACCTCTTGGGATTCCTTTCTAAGCTCCTTCACAACGGTCTATCACGATGTCTAGTTAGTGTCATGTCTGCTTCGGGCTCGATGGCTAAAGTAATATTCTTACAGCAAGAGCTTCTGGGTTTACGCCATTCTCGATCATGGAGATGCAAATCGACAGGGTGCGGCGGTCCAGGTGGCAGTTCTGTTCACATCGTCATGTAAGCATGGAGTGGGATATTGAGAGGATGGTAGCAGGCGGGCGTCGCAACTGACGAGGATGGTAGAGATCTCATGCAAGATGTCGACAGCCTGCTGGGCCGCGGCCTGCTTCCCGCTTCGGTCGTCTGCAGGCATTTTCGTATGGTATTTATTGCTGGTTGTGAGATTGTATGAATGAGATAAAGGTCATTGAGTGAGCGGATG